TAAAATATAATATAGGAAAAATGAAACTAAAATATGTACAATTCGAACTCTTTTTGTTATTCGAATTATTAACTTTATAAGTATTTGCAGTATATGTGCCAAATAATTATGTGCATTTTAATTATTCTAAATTTGATTTATGTTTATTCTTTAATTACATGTCCTTGTAACATTACCTATAGCAATGATGTCATAACATACGTCATGTGCAATGATGAATAAAAAATATTTACGACTTATTCTAGTTTTATTTTACATGACATTTTATACTTAGCAATAAAGTCAAAATATAATGAATACGAATAACAAAAAAATGTTTTTATCTTTAAACATTCATCAGTTAGTGCTCAACATGATTTTATTATATTCCTTCCCTCAAGTGTATTTTTTCAATGTTTATCATTCCTAAATTTCTTTTATTTTTTATGTTTATTGAGTGCTTCGAATAATGCATTAGCCTCTTCGTCAGTTTTTACTCTCAATAAAACTGGTACCGGCGGAGGTCTACATTCTGGTCTTGGTAAACAAACCAACATTATTGTATTTTTACTCATACGTTTTGTTGGGACACTTTCAGTCAATAAAGTATTCAGCAATAAATTTCCCAAAGGATTTTCTGCACGTACTAATAATTGTGTTTTATCATTTGGTGTTGGTTTTAGAAACAATATTCCAACTCCTCTGTCACTAAAATTACCATTTTTCTTTACAAAAACCTTACATCTGTAAAAAATACGAGAATGAATTGCATCATCTTTAAGTTTTAATTTTAAATTATGCATATTTCTTTTTTATGTCTGCTAAAAAGGATTAAGTATGGTACCTTTGTTGATATATGGTACCTTCTTCTGTTACTGGTTTATAATCTGCTTTTGGTGGTTCTTCATCTTCCTCATCTATTCCTTCACTATCCTCAGGTTCTTGTGGCTGTACGGCTTGTGCTCCAAATGTAAATGGTTTGGCACTACAGAATTACAGTGTTATTAAAATCTTTCCATTATACTGAAAAGTTTAAATACATTACCTTCCAAAACTAAAACCTGTTGATGTATTGTTAGTAGTAGAACTTTGACCAAAACAGAAAGTGACTGTATTTGTTGTGGCAAAAGAACTAGTAGTAGCAGTGGTAGTCGATTTTGTTTCTGATTTTGTGTCTTGTTCATCTGATTTATTATCTGATGTAGAAGAGGGTTTACTTAAAAATGGATTTTTTCCAAATATACTTTTAGTTCCAGATTTTTGTTCAGTATTATGAAAGACTGATTTGTGCATGTCTGAGCTCTGTTCTGTATTACTAAAAATGGATTTACTACTGTCTACAGTTTGATCTGATTTTCTAAACATAGAGTTAGGACCAACAGTAGCAAATCTACCAAAAACTTTCACAGTTGAAGCAAAAGGACCTTTTGTGTTTGTTCCTCCAAAAGGAGAACTCTCAAGTTTTTTTTCTGTGTCAGCAGCAGCAGCTTCCTTTTTATCACTGGCATGCACAGACTGTGCTTGTTCTGATACTTGAATGGATTTCTCAATTCCACTTCCATGCTTAGCTTCAATTTCTTTAAGGTACCTTTCATAATCTCTGAAAATAGGTGTTAAAATACAAAACGGATTTGCATCAACATGAGTTTTAATCCATTGTGCCACACTTTCATTTAATCCTTTTAACTTGGCAAAGTAATCAGAAGATTTTTTAAATATATTTTGCTCTTCTTGATCAGGAGTACTCTTTTTATTTGCAGATGTAGTCAATACTGCCTGTACTTCTGAATTGTCTTTCTTATTTGGGTCATTGTCATTACTTTGTGGATTATCATTATTTATAGGAGGAGGCTTGTTTATATTCGCAACTGTCTTTGAAGAAGCATCATTAGAATTACTATTAGTGTTACTACCAACTAAGAAGCTAAATGGAGAAGCATGTGCTGTAGCTGTCGCTGTTTTAAAACCTGTAAATGTACCAAATGCACTTTTGGTAGTATCCTGAAAAATATTTTGAGAAAAAAGAAATATACAGATATTGACATAACTATACATATAAAACTGTAAGAATAAAAAAAAGTTACTTCTGAATTTTGTAAACGCCGCTTAGCTCTTTTAACAACTCGTTTTTCAAGTACATCATCAGGAGCTTTTTTAAATGTCCCTGCTTCTTCAGGATTTTCTTCTATATCCCAGTTATCATGATTTAATTCTGTAGTAGCTGCTCTCTTTCCAGCCATTTTTGTAAACATATTCTACAAATACAATCAACATTGTTTTGTTTGCTTTTTTTCCTTGCAAAGAATAACATAATAAAATTAATTGTTCACTATTCTGATTACTGTGTGTACATATTGGTAAATATTTAATAAATAGTAATATCACCTTTTTTGTAAATTACAAGAACATATTTTTATATTTTTTATCCAACTGTGCACACAATAATCGATTATACAAGAATCTAACTAAAAAAGATATAAAATATTGTTATTTATATTATATTGCATCAATAGAAATAGTTATAATACAATATTAACTTTGAAGAAGATGAAATGTTTATTTTTAAATATACAGAAAGAAAACTTGCAATATAACCTCACAATCTGCTGAAGACGGCGATATCGATTTTCTAACATAACTAAAAGCTAAATGTAATCATACTAGAGTATTTACCAAAATAAATTTAACCGTGTAAAATACATCAAAGAGAATTTAATGTGTTTTATTTTGCACTACGTACTTAACACGCATAAGAACTTGTATAAAGTTGAACGCTAGAACAAAATTTTTAGAAGTTTACGCATGCGCGTTCTTTAACCATGACCATACTATATATCCAACGAACAAACTAATTCTTAAAAGGTTAAGCGACAAAATTATAATATTTTGAGATCTGTTTTACGTAACTACGTGTATGTGATATAGATTGATTTCAAACTTTGTGTGAAGTAATAAGGTAACGACATCCTCATTGAAGTAATTCTGAACAAAGTGACCACTATAAACTTACAGACAATTTTTACAGTTTAAACGTAACAGTTTTTGTAAACATTTAGTTTATCATCCACAGAAATTGGTCTAAAAATACTATTAAATGATATAGATCATATACTAAATGAATAACTTAGATATTTTTGTAGTTTGTATTTGATGTTTATTAATCATGTACATATATAGTTTCAAGTTATAACTGTCAATCAATAGACAAAATTTAAAACTTATTTCGAAATATAGCAAAAATCATATCAATACACCACATTTTTCAATATTTTTAATCTCTGTTTCTTAAACACATTTTTACCTTTATATAAAAGAAATTAAAGAAAATTCTGGACTTGAGGTAAAAATTAGTAAAACGATCATATTCAAATATACGGATTAACGTATACTCTTTTTAATGCAAATAATTTTTTATATATGAAGAAATAAAGATACTGTATTATGATTATTAAACTAGCCTATACGAGGAGTATCTGATGAGGGATCACGTGATATGCTATCACGTGCAGGAAATCGATTTAAACTTTATATTTTGTTTATATATATTTTCGGTTTTTGCATAAACAAATATTAATGTACACCATTGAATTTTTAGTGCGACAAGCATATTTTCGTGTAATTTGAAGTATTAACTTAAAAATAGCAGCACATTATAATTCATAAAAAGCAGAGAAGCCATATACTTGTAGTACATCTTTTCGCACATAATGGAATCTTTCCTGTTACGATAAATAAGTATTGAATATCCGATTATCTAAATCACCCTGAATATTTAAAATGTTCAGTGTTTATAATTCTAAACTTCTAAAACACGTACTTCTTTTACTTTACTGTCACACATAAATATGTAAATAAGTATAAAATGGATAATAGTTTAACGTAATCTATGTGAAGATAAAATTATTTCAAATTTATATGTGTGTAGAAACTAAGGAAGGTAGATTAAAGAATATAAATGCTAATTTAAACGAATGTGTTTAATAAGTGGAACCATGTTAAGACGTGTCTTCAAATGCGCAGAAATTCCAAACCATGTCTTTGGGCTTCAGGGAATGAGCTCGTCTCCTATCGTGAACGCCGTTTCGTTTCGTAATCGCAAATATGTGGCGCCACTATCGCCGGCATTACCAACGTTCACTATCGTAAAAGATCTACTTCAAGGAAATGTTTTCTTTGAACATCCTGTGTTTTCATAAATTTGTAAGCAGAGTTCATAGTGGTGGTGTATCATAGGCAAGCAAAGGATATAATAAAATTGTAAAATAAAGTGAAAAACTGTTACGCTTGGCACATGTACCGGTTATAAGCTTGGCGCGAAAACTTGCTTTCAAGGAGCGCGTCGGATCCCTGGGCATACAACGCAACGGGAGGAACGAAGAAAGGGAGAGGGAGGAAGAGAGAAAGATCGAGGGTAAGGGCCAGGGGTGTCAGGGGATCTCGAGCAACTTGGCACGTCCGTGTACGGAGGCAACAGTGCTGGTGGCAGCACAGACGCTCGTTGATGAGCGAACAATTCACTTTGGTGCGCGGTTTCGCGACGTTGTTTCGTCTCATCGATGCCGTGAAATAAGGGTGTGCATATGTACGTACGTAACGAGGCGATAAAATGTGTCTGTGACATTTTTACCTGTTCGCTTTTCCTAAGTTAAAACGGTCAAGTGTCGTTGCGGTGGCTCGAAGAGTTCGTGGCTGGTGCGCGCCGTGCGTGCGGTTGATCGGAGCGTATACCGCTGCTCTCGTCAATTTGGTGGGAGAGTGAGAGTGAGAGGGAGGAGGGGTTTCCCGTCCTCCTCTTCTCTCGCTAAAATCAGCCGGATTTTTGAACAGGGAGGAAAAACGAATAATCTCAATAGAAAAATATGGAGATATCGAAGAGTTTGCAGGAAGAAATACTCAGCGTGCAAAATAAACTGAAAAATGCCATACGCGATCATCAGGTGAGTCCCGCGGCTGTGCATGTACATATGTCGATAAAGATTTAAAGATTGAGAGTACGAAACTGAACGAACGAGTGAGCGAGTAAGTTAACGAATGATTCTTGCCCGACCAACGTCTTTTCACTTCTTTTCACACGCTATCCACTATCGATTGAAAAATCGAGATAGCATGTTCGATAGATAATCGAGTTAAAAAGTAAAAAATGTTTTCGCATATCTTTCGAATATAATTTGTCGTTTCGGACGGATTTTCTGGTAAAATAAAGGAAAAGTAAATACGTATGAAAGTTTTTTCGACATATTCTTTTTTTTTAATGCGTGCACGAACGCATGTACGCATCAGGCACGCGCGCGCGTGCATAAATGCACACCTCCTATACTGTATTTACGGAACTTGTTATTTTAATGTAAATTCCCCGAAGTTTCATGAAACGATCATCTCGATCAAAGATGTCCGGTTTATGCGAGACATGAACGGAAACTGAGTCACTAATATGGCATACATGTCCGTTCGATCTATTTTATAGAAGTATTCCTTTCACTCGTATCGGAGGTTTGTAAAACTGTATTCCCTCTTCGGTTACACAGGCAATGTTGCGCGTTATCGAAAGTGAAAGAAGCGTAACTAGTTCCAAAGGAACTTTTGCACGCTTTCGATCATGCTACAACTTTGCACCGTGCAAACGGTCTTTTTTTTTACGAATCACATAAACCCGAAGGTGAACGAGTGTTCAGACCTTAACCTTTGTTGGTAGAGTGCTTCGACCGATGCGTCGCATGACTTTGAGAACCAACATTCTATCTTTCTCTCTCTGTCTCTCTTCTTCTTTCTCTCTCTCCCTCCCTCTCCCGCTTGTTCATTCAGTTACTCACTTGTTCGGTTGATCTCCCTCTCTTTCCTTCTCGTTTACCCTAGCACCAATAGGTCCTATACCCTCTCCCGTTCTTTTCTCCTTCTTGTGCTTACTTTTGTTTCCGCCTAGTTCTTTTAAACACCACTATAAACTTCAATTTTGACGATGCCCTATTCGTATCCATAAACGAAATATACTTCCACCATGTTCAATTACTCCGACCATTTTTCTCCGTTACACTTTCCTTTTCAGCTTCGCCTTTTAATATCTTTAATGTTTATTACTAGACGACACGTACAGTAACCAGCTATACGACCAGGTATCCTTGATAACCCAATATCGACCTCCATTTTAAATCCATTAATGCTTCTTTGCTATCGTTCGTGTAAACTCTACATTATAAAGGAGCATAGGGTCAAGGTATTCTGTCGACAGAATCCGGATGTACATGTTGAGACGCAGCTAAACCGATATCATCGAATCATGCATAACGCGTGTACCTGTTTTGTCTATTTACAGCGAACTTTTATTAACTAGTAGGAAGGGTAGAGGGATATGCGCATTGGGGGAAAGTTTGTCGGCGCGCGATCGGCATTCTGCCCTGCTCTACCGACCTTGTCCCGTCTAACTCCTTGAAATTGAATATTTTCGTTCCGGTGACACTTCGAGCTGCCTTCGTTCGATATATCTCGAACTTCGATTCCTACATGTTCGTTTCGATCTTTTCCAAAATGGATCCTCGTTTAACGCACCAACTAATCGATATGTACGGTATATTGAAAGTATCTTTAAAAAATCGTTGAAAATGTTTGGTTAATGGTTATCCCTCGAATAGTTTATCGCGAATTGACCAATTAAATTAAGTGGATCAATATTCGTGTTCGGCGTATTTGCCAACTGGATAGGACAAACCTGTTCTCGTTCGATAGACATTTCAGTTACACGCTGATTATTGGGAAACAGGTGTGCAGTGATATCAGTTTGTAAATTTTATAACGTCTTGAAAAAAAAAGCTCCCTTGCATCGAGCACATACGATACGAGAAAGAAAAGAAAAAAAAACTGACATGCTGCATTGTACACGTTTATTTTAATAATGCATCGATGTATAAATAAATCCATAAACATAAAGCTTTATTTTTATTTTTTGCGCGATTACTTTCATGGTCGATGCGATTTCCTTTAATGCTCTTCGGAACTTTTCCTTTTGTTTACTGTTGTGCTCTGACGGTACACAAGAGTTATGTAAAAAAAAAAAAAAAAAACCGATCTAACTATCGTAAATTCTTACAAAATGATTTCTAAAAATCCAAGAAAAGTACAGGGGGAACGAAAGGGTTGTTTCGTTCGGTGGAAACGTTGATTCATCCATTTGTACACATTCTTCAATACGATCGAGACAGAGTCTTACGGTAATTGCGTCATTGCGCCACAGAAGAGAGAGACTCGGCCGCGTTTATAAAAGCGTAGCAGTGACCGACGATGCTGCCCCGAAGCACGAAGTGTATACACGTCTATCTTCTTTCCTATACGTCATACTAATCCTGAATTTTCTTTTCTGATTTGCAGATCTGCGTAGGCAAACTGAAGGATGACCCGAACGTAAGTCGCTTACTTTTGCCTAATCCCACGGATCAATCCGAGCTTCGTAAACACGTGATATTTCATACGTACGAGTAACATCGGAGGGAACGTAATAACGGCTGTGTTCACGTTACCCGGCTCGCAAGAAAATGAAGTCTCTTCGCGGCACAAACACACACACACACACATCAGTTATTTTTGGCGTTACAATTGATTTGCTGTATTTAGCGGATATTAATGTGTCTCCGGAAACTTTTGCCATTCGACGTATCGATACACTTCGATAGAAAGTTTCTATTTAACTTGGAACAACGTAACAGTTATTGTCTCGTGAACGATTATTAATTTATTTCGTACCGTTGTTACGTTACCTTCCTACGAAAGTGTAACGGGGAATGTCTCTCACACTTTAATGTGTCTCCGGAAACTTTTGCCATTTCGACGTATCGATACACTTCGATAGAAAGTTTCTATTTAACTTGGAACAACGTAACAGTTATTGTCTCGTGAACGATTATTAATTTATTTCGTACCGTTGTTACGTTACCTTCCTACGAAAGTGTAACGGGGAATGTCTCACACTCTCTCTCTCTCTCTCTCTCTATGTATATATATCCTGTAACGTATTAATTTCCATCGTACTTAAGGAAGTATGATTAACCTATGAACATCGTTACATCGATTACGTGGGCAGTTGAATCCATCGTTTTCCACCAGTGACTAATTGTTATGTCATACTTGCGCCAGTACGATGGACGCGTGCGTATATCCTTCGCGTACCGTAATACAGTTCCATGAAATTATACTTGCACATGATAATAGACATTTCCTTCTCGACGCTTTGCTTTCTGTTTCCGCGTTCTTAAGGGAAAACCTACTTTCGCGCTTCTTTATTATACACACGCTAATTTATATAACAATCTGCACCACGTCTAACACCGTGAATAATAATATCTTTTTTTCTCTCGGTTTCTTTTTTACAGAATACAGATATCCTTGGTCAGATACAGAAGATTCACTTGCACATCGTGTCTTTGGGAAGGTGCCAGGTAAGTTCAGAATTGATTTCCCCGAGCTTCACTCTTTCGCGTTATGATCCAGGGCAGGTTTGTTTCGTCCACGTTTCATATTCTATATTTTCACGCCTGTTTCGTTTACGTACGTAATACGCATATGTTCAATTATCCTATCGATAACGGGGCTCGTGTTGGGAACGTTTGGAAAATCGTCACGGTTTAAGGTGTCCTTCGGTACGAAACGAACGAAACGGCGGCTTACACACGATCGATAGACGCATCGCGCGAAAAGAACCTTTCTTCTTTTTTAAGACAGTATCACGGATAGGGAATTTATTTTCTTCGGGATAGTCCTCGGTCGAAATTTTATCGGAAGATTTCATCGAGTATATAAGTTTTACCAGCGGGGAAGTTTCCTTATCGCGTTAGAGGCGGCGTTTAAACGAAATTACCAGCTCGAATTCGAGCACCCGTGGCAATCTCTCACGTTAACGCGACAAGTCACTTTCGGAACGCATTCGCCGCGAATTTCCCGAACGTTATCGAATCCGAGCCCCTTCTGTATCGACCTCTCGTCCGTGCTCTCTCTCTATCTAGGCTTGCAGTTTCTTCGTAGGACGCTCGCTAGAATGAGTAATGCACAGTTATAATTAAATAGCGAACTCGTTGAGCGAGTTTACCGACCACCTTTCCAAACTTTGTCGATCCCCGTGAGGATAGAGACGGATAGA